CCCCAAAACCCCAAAACCCCAAAACCCCAAAACCCCTAGAGAGTCAATCTCAGTAAAAATTTAGATTTAAGAAATTAAAATCTATATTGAATTGCAATTTATAGCCTATTATTTGCAAATATTAAACTAATATTATAATAGCTTTAAGTTTTGTATAAAGAATTCTGAACTTTTAAAGTCATAACAGTTGATTAATTTTTCATTTAGCATTAGTGTTTCTCCAGAAAATATTTTCAAAAGATGTCACAATAGTATTAAGTATATTAATACCAGAGGGAGATACTTCTTTAACCTTGCACACACTCTTACTCGTGCCATAAGTCTATCTATTTTATCTGCTCATCATAAATTCTTCACGAGGTTAAGTATTTTGATGATTGCCAGCCTGGTTGAACAACTAATCTTAGGGTGAACTTAAACTTCCAACTGCACTCGTGCTACTCAGATTCTAATTAGAAACATTAATATTCAAACTCGAATTAGGATTTTTCTATTGCTAGTTATTTTTTGCCTTGATGTTATGCTGATCAATCAGGCCCAAATAACTACTATTTACTTTAGGTGATTAAATCAAATCTTTGAAATTTTTATACTCTATTGAATTACTATTAAACTGATTCTGTGGTTGTTTTCTGGATAAATCAATAAGGCTTGGCTGATTATTTTTCATATTTTATAGCTATGGCCTGTAAGAGCTCTTAGGTACATGCTTGAACATATCAGCCTTATTAATTTTACTAGGAATTGAAGCTTAACTCATAATGACTGGCTTCAACTCCTAAAGAGAATTCAATTCATCTTCATTAGTGACATTCATATCATAAAGCTGCTACTAGGATTTTAAAGCCACTTTATTTTGATTTATTTGCTTGATGTTAAATGATTATTCTGAGCCTTGCATTTAATTGGTTTATCTTGGCCTATTTCTATTGGCATCAAAAAGATTTCTTTTTGCACTCTTGGATCTGCTTTATTTCTTTTTCTCTTCGACCTTGACTTCCTCAATAGGCTCAGCAATTACTTAATGCTTTATAGAATAGTCAATGGAAGTCTAATGCCTTTAGATATAAGAAGACTACTTGCTGTTCATATTCTATTGAGGACTATTTAAGGCTTGAGATTTTTGTTGTTCCTTCTGTCTCTAGCTTAAGATATCTGGGATAGCTAAGGAATCAGCTCTTCTTGGCTAAGTCTTCTCTGAACCACCTTGAGACTTTTTAAATGATTATGGTTCAATATTTTAAGATTTTTTAGGTTGTAATTCTATAACTACATTTTTAATTTCTTCAAACTTGTCAATTTTTTAAACGTTTGTAATCCGAATATCACTTGGCTTTCTTAATAACTCTGTAACACCTTTTGAATAAATATCTTTTTACTGTCTTGAAATCACAGGTCCACCTCCATAAATCAAATTAAAAATATCCCATACTAACTCAGTAACCATTTTATAATCCTTATTTCTAACTAAATCATCTCTAATGACCCAAGCTTAGGTTTAAAATCTATTAGCTTCTTAGTGAATATACAAGTTGCTGTTATCTATTTATCCTGGCACCAAATTCAAATCGATTTTATCACTTTAAACATAGTTCTTCCATTAATCAAGCCATTTCATTGAAATTGCATACCATTTATAATCCTCTACGGCAATTTAGTCTAATCTATTTTACTCTGACATTTGTTCCAAGTCACTGATGATTCTCTATTCATATTTTCTTCTTATTTTAAGTGACTGTTCTAACTTCTAATAATTCAAATCTAATATTTTACTATCCCTTAGATGAGCTTAGTCATATAAGCATTCCCTAATAGATTTTATTTGGATGATATCTCTATATTATTTGCAATTTTTACATTTGACCTTGTCGATTGGATTGTCAACTAGACATTCCTTACAGATCCAATTATAGTCATTTGTTAGATTTTGATCTAGATTGAAGAATTCAATCATATTCATCTTTTCTGTATTTTTTACATACCCTTCAATGCATGATTAAAAGGTACTCTTAATCATTGAAATTATAGCTTCAGAATCAATTAAAAAATTTTGCAAAATCTTTTGCTCATGAAATAGCTACTTTTCTTGCTTATTTAAATATATCCCTTAATCTTCTATTTTCACAATATTTTAAAGTAATTAAAGATCTTTGATATTTTGGCTGTGTAATAATTCAAAAGCTTTACTAAGATCTATCTCTTTAATTTCTATAGACTTCAAGAGTTCTTATATTTATGTCTAAATATTGAAGATTAGAATTTATTAGAACTTACCTTCAGCTTTTAATTAACCTCCTACTTTTACAAAATAAAATCTGCAGATTAATCACGAATCTCTTGTTCAAATTTCTATACTTAATTCCTGAGTTGAATCAAGATTTTATTGATTTAAAAATCTAGATCAGACTTTTCTTTTTCCCTAAGTTTAAGCAATAGTAAAAAAGTGAAACTTTAAAAATGGAACTAATAATACTTAAAAGAAATCTTTTTGAAAGACTTACATTTAATCAGTTAATTTAGTATCTATCATCTCTAGATATATCTGTTTTAATTATAATTGATCTTTTTAAATTATGATATCTCTTTTCCTATCAATAATGTAGTTAGGATCAACGACTAAATTTTAAAGTTCATAATCACTCAGATCATTCAGGCATAGTTCACATAATTCATTAGTATTGCATTGAGAATTAAATTAGATTATCTTGACATACTGATCTTTGTGTTCTTCGCATCTTTTCTTATTGATGTTAGGAATCACCCTAATACAATGCTTGTAGTCATCTTTGATATCCTTTTGTCTAATGCTAATTTCATTGCTATCCTCTTTGGGATTAAATTTTAAGACTTGTCTATTGTCTGAGTTCTTTTTTAAGAGTTTAGTAAATTCTAATTAATCTAAGTCTGAAGAAAGACATTTTCCATCACTTTTAAACAAAAATCCATCTTTTACATTATTATTCTTCATATCGCACGGACTATAGTCATTCTGGCTACTCTAAGTTTTGATTCTTTTATCCTGAAGTTGCTACTGCTTTTACTACAACGATATCTGTTTGACTTAATTGGTAAGTCTTTAATCAACTAGACTGAGTAGCGTGTAATTCTTGATTAGAGTTTTTATTTCCTCAACAGACTGAAAATTGTGCTTTTCCTGGCAATAAGGACATTGAATGTCTCCATGAGTAACTCTAAATAAATTCAATAAACACCCCTAGCAATAACTGTGTCCACAATGGAGCATTCTAAACAGATCAGTATTAATAATCATAAACATTTAAATTGCAAAAATAGAGAAATAGGCGAAAGCAATGACTAACCTAGGAATACATGACTGATCATGCCATGAATTTAAACATATTGAGCACTCCATTAATAAATTGTAAATTCTTTATAAGCAAATAATTTTGACAATATAGTTGTTAATATCCAGATTAATTTAGAACTATTTATCTTCAATTCTAAGAATATTTCCTTCCTAGGGGTTTTGGGGTTTTGGGG